AGTAGAGTAGTTACTCCCGGGTGCCTACCTTGCTTATTTGCATTAGTACTACCCAACAGCTAGCGGTTGTTACTGTGCCACTTGTACCCTTGAGATGTCCTGCCGACCATCGAAATCGTTAGGGGCACTAAGGACGACTCTGTTCCTGTTATGAGCTGGAGTAGCGCAGTGGATCACGAAGCCATTCAGAAGTCTTTCGCTCTAAATTTTCATGAAGGAGTCTAGCCATCGCTTGGGCGGTCGTCCTGGTGACTAGTTGACGTCCCGTGGGATCCAGTCGCTAATAGCTTTGGTAACACGATCATCAAAAAGAATTGCACGATGGGCTCACAGCACACGATCTTTGATTCCTTATTGAACTCTGCAGCGTCCCTGATCTTCGATCGTTGACAGAGTGCGGAACTCCGGGTTTCCTTTCGCGATTAGCGAGGGTATTGCAATCCAACCTTGGCATTTGTTTTCAGGTAGAGCTATCTTTGGCCAGGTTGCCAGGTTAGTACGATCAGATTCTACTCATACTGTCTGCGATTCGCCCGGAGCGATCGGAGGTTGCTTCAATGTCATTAATGAGAACGCCCAATGAAACTACGGAAAAGCTCCGGGGTAGAAATGAATCTTGTGCACCCACTGTGCCCTTTCGCAACCCTCGCGCCTGACGCCTGAGGCGATTCTACTGTCTTTGTCGTAATTTTATTCTGTTTTCCCCCCACTGACTACGGTAAGCGTAGCTATTTTCTTAGCTAATCGGATTTGGCATGAAGCCTTGATCCTCTTCTCAGAGCCCCTCCGCTCCCCTCAATCATTACCCCTTCTCCCTCTCAATCCCCGGTCTTCTCGAAATGGCCAGATTAACTCTCTTAGACGATATCCAGGTGAGATTGCACGACATGGAATCCCCCACTATTAGCCGTATGAGATTCAGGCAAAGCTGTGACGTTCCTACGAAAAAAGGCAGAGTCATGAAAGCATAACGTTCGGCATTAGCGCATCGAATTGATTTCCGAAAACCGCAGCGCCGTTAACAAATTCCATTAGAGTTGCATAAAACATCTTCTGCTGTGATGAGTTTAGGCGGTCAGATTGGGAACTTCTGAAGGACCCAAATCTTGCCTAGGCCACGAAATGGTAAGCTCGCGATCTTGATATTGAAGGTTAAAGTCTTCGCCGTTGATCAATCCCTTTGTGGGATGCGGCACGCATTCTACTTCCATTCAGAATCGTAGTGGCTTATTGAATGCGATGTGGCCTATACAATGACTTGCGGGGGCCAGCCAGAGAACAAGTCTGTGATTTCACCCTCCTAGACGAACCCGGTGCCAAATGTTAGTCCCTGGAGAATAGAAGGCTCAATTGCCGTTACTGACTGTAGCCAATTCAAAAGCACACAATAGCCCACCTTTCTGATGTCCGAGAGTCCATCACCAGGGTAGGTCTTCACGTCTCGATCGGCCAGTAGGGTTACCCTTTAAGGTGCAGTTCGGCTTGATGAGGGCATTGAGTGGGCTCTGCAAAGCTTTTACAGGTTAGCTCGTCAGACTTCACATCTGTTGCTCCTGTTTCAACGTTTGTATCAATAATTTGCTCCTCCCAGCAGTTTTGAGTGTGATCAAAAACTGTTGAAAATATTAAAAAAAGTTCAGCATTAGCAACGGTATGTCTTTCTCTATAACTACGGGTTGCACTCTTATATGTACATATGGAATGCTAAAAATTCCTCTTGCAGACCCTTTTTCCTGCCAATTTCATTGGCGTTTCGTAATATGATTCGCCTTATTCGTTCTTTGCCAAGAAAACCTGCTTAATATCGATTTTCATCTAATTGGATGTGTGAAAATCAGAGTTTAATTTCCCTCAAACTCACGTAGACCTGGTGTTTATGGCAGCGAATCATCCACTTTTCCATCGGCATTTCCCATTTTTGCAGCTGCACAACAACCATTAGGAATGAAAACCCATATGTAAACAAGAAAACACTCGGAAACGACGTGTTTGGCCTCTCCTTCAGTTGAACCTTTGCTGTCTCACTAAGCTCAAAGTTTATCATCAAGTAGAGCTTGGCAAAATATGGACTACGGTAAGTATATAGGTCCCTAGTCCATATTTTGCCAGGCTCTACTTGATGATGATTGCCAGGCTAGGGTCCAAGTATGGATGTATGGGTACCGTGTTCGATGCAGGGTTACCGTACTATTCGCCATGTTCAACAGGGAAGCTTGCACACCATAATTGTCCTGTGACGGATGTAACTCCTGTTGAGCGCATCATTTCCGATTTTCCTCATAGGTCTAGTGGACAGATTACTTACGGAAACTGTGAGGTTACTCTCAACTGAAGCTTCAAAAAGAAAAGCTGTTCTATTGTATTATCCTTAAATCCATAAAACAGCGTTCTCCTAAGATACATTCAATCAAGCCACTTGATATATTATCAAGAGTAACTCAATTACAGTTATAAAATATTATGACCTTGTGTATGTTAATGAGCAGCGGTCCGTCTTCGAGAGGCATTTTGCACTTTCACTAGTTTTTTTGGTTTAAAGGCAAAGTTTGCGATCATTCGCCATCACAGAAAATGGATTAGGGGTTTGCACATAAACGACTGCTGAGTAATTCGGTAGTGAAGAAAAGAGCGGAAAATAAACATGCCAAAATGCTTTCCCCTCCTGCAGCTTCGTTTTCACTGAAAGGCGGGCCTTGAGGCGAGTCTGGAGGCGGAGTCACTGGAGGAAAGGAGGCGTCACTGAACCTACATTGCGCTATAGCGCCCTTCCCTAACAATTTTTCGCTGCAAAACCGGTACAAGGCTGTTCATCGAAGACCACACTACTCTTCCGACGCATATTTCCAACTTCTGTAAGTGTAGCGGACCGCGTGCCTTAAGTCCACAAATCATTTCGGTGGAACTCAGTAAACTCACTGTGAAGGCTGCAAAAGGAATTTCAGTGTAAGCTCGCTGGTCACAGGATTTACTCAAACATGGGCCCCTTCAACAACTTAATCTGCACGGCCGATTTAGTTTCTCCCCCCCCCTCCCAAGCTCGCCATAAGCCTATTATATTGCTAGGCATTATTAGGCAGTGGAAACGCTCGGAATGGAAGAGGTTGAAAGGGGTTCTCGCATTACTTTGTTTAGTCTTCAGAGCATATTCTAAAAGTAGCGCTAGGCGCGGTTGCAATGCATCTGACGGTAATAGAGGTTGAGCGCGGTGTATAGAAAGGTGAGTCCGTCATGGAATGCGCATCGTTCCCATGGGCAAGAGCTCGCCCCGTTCTCAGATTATTGCTGTAAATTTGCAGCATAGTATCTGATCTTCGGAACGTTCCAATGCATTCCATCTTTTATACCCCGGAAATGCGGAGGGCGGTGCTGCGTGTTTTATTAGACATGGCTGAAGTGATGCCTTTCCAATGGAATGTCCCACCTGAGAGAACTTTTTTGCCCTTTGCTGGCCAAAGACATGTAGAATGGCTTGAACAGCAGAATCACCACCCAAACCGTCTGCACACCCAAGTATATGCCCCTCATACGACGTACTCTGTGTCCACAGAGTACGTTGGATGAGGGACATGGACTGGGGAGGGCGTGGACACGCCCACCTCATCTACGGGACATGGAAACAGAGTTACGTACGCTAAGGAACCCCAGCGTAGGAACGTCATTACATAAGAAAGAGGGATGTATCCCTTTGTGAAAAAATTTTTCCGATAGTTTTTCCCATCGTTCCAACCCTTTTCAACATTGAGTTGGCTCCATAACCCATGCTCCGCCTATCCCTTACTCAACGGAGCCAAACTGGAGCGTTTTCCGAAAAACGTCAGAAAAGAAAATTGGGAATTCAGGTGTACGCTAGGTTGTGAGAGGGAGGGCGTGGGGGGGGGTACCTGAGAACAAAGAGTTGAGAGGAGCCATATTTTGCAAAGAAAAATTTTTCCAACTGCAGGACCTGCTCTGTCTAGAGCGTGGATGTCAATGGATGTTATCACCCCTGGGCAGAAAAAAAGTTTGTCGGAGCTTTGGTTTCCTGATGTAATACGTAGCAGGGCACGATAATTATATGGTGGGCTTTGTCGAGTCCGTGCACTACCCCAACCTCTAAAGCGTGGCTTGAGACGAGCTTGAGACGACGCCCCCTTCCCCACTTCTTCCTTCACCGTCCTCTCATCCTACCTACCACCTTCTAAGATTTTCGAATTTCCCGAGAATTTTCCTAGTCCTTCCCAAACACCGATGTCGACCGAGGGGTAAATACATGGAACGAAAATGTACGAAAAATCAGCAACTCCTCTCAGAAGCCCAGAAGGCAAATACGCCCCCTCCCTCCAGCGACCAAATGCGACATCCCTGTGATATGCTATGGTTACATGTCTTACGTATTTGACACAAAAATGCACAAACCTTTCTCGGTTTCCCTTCGAACTAGTGTGGGACGCAATTTTGCCACTGTTTTCGCCCCGGATCGAATAAGAAATCCGTTCAGAAGCTAGTGATTGCCCGTATTAGCCCGCAGTTCCGTTCTCATTGATATGGGAATCCTGACGGGTCAGGAAAACTTCCTTCGGCTTTCCCTTGTTCGCTAATCAGATCCAGTGAGTCTCGTTGGATAGCAGGCCGTCAAGCGGTTCGAACGATGCATTGACGCTAATTTCTTTCCTGTTCCGTTGACGATGCGGCCCCCACAATCGCCCAGGCCTCTATCCAGTTCTAGCTGACCTCTTTTCACTGTGATTTACCACCAACAACACACATTCTCAACTCTTTATCTTAGTTTGTTTGACTTTATTGACTACAAGTCGCGGAATAAATAGCGTGACAGTACGGTAATTTGATAATTCTGTACCACATACGATAGAGATAAAGGATACAGTAAAGTTACATGTTGGAGAAAGTTGAAAGAAAAAAATGGCAGTGAAGATCGGAAATTGGAACATCGGTGTCAACACATAGATGAAGAAAGCTCTGATGGTGGAATAAGGCACATAAAATTCTTCGAAGAAAATCTATTACATATAGATAATCAATGGCGAATCTGTAAAATCAATATAGATAGAAAATCAATTGGTCCTCCAGTACATCACGGTTGCCATGCCAGAGCATATTGGCCGTTCTTCTCGATTTTGCACGTCTTTCCTTCCTACAACACGTGCAACTGTTTACATACTTATTTAACTGACATATATGTACACGCAAAATTCCCACGGTAATCGATTTGCATGCGTTCAACAAGGGCACAGCCTCCAATCAGTTAAAACATCTAGAGGAGATCAAGCGCATAGGACGGCTGAACCCTAGGCGCTCGATCCTTTATCCTCAAAAAGCGCTCTCGATTGTCTATCCCCAATATCCTTGTGCTGAAACGGTCCCTAAAGGAAATCAGCATTTTCCATCAAATCGGGCAGCCGATTTCCATATAAAGGCAGTTGGCACGATAATTTGGTACTCAGCCTAAAATGCTAGCAGGGCGCTATCTAGTGGGAAAATGGCGAAAAACGAAGTGAAACGGTCAAAAAACTGCGAAGAAAAGCCTACGTTCTTGAGAAGCAATTTCGGACGAGTTTCCCGCAGGCGTATTGCAAATAACCGCTCCGGCAGGTACGGCTTCATGTATGTACTAATATATCCATTCAGCACCGTAGCCGCTTCATACTATTCCCTTCGCTTTTTTTACTTAGCAAATGAAGCAAAACGAGCATCTGGTAAGGTCGTACATTTGTGGGCGGGCGGGCGTGGTAGGGCGTTTGGGTCGGTATGTTGTAGCTTGATAGGACTACCTCCCTAGGGGAAAGCCATGCAGCGCCTACTGTCACGGAAATCCGCCCTGCCAGGCGTATCAATAATACTCGATTTTAGGGATTTATCGTGCCAACTGCCTTTAAACCCTAGGAGGTTTCACAATGTTCAAGATAGGAGTGGGGAGGAAGTACAGGATTTTATTCAGGTGAATGTCATCAACATTCAAGTCGCAGCAGCAAAGAAATCGTGACAAGTCAAGGACAAGTGGTTTTCTCGACTCTTCTCCGCCAATCCAACTTCTTTCACAGCAAAAGCACAATTTTTCTGACCTCTTTACATCGTTTATCACGAATTCCTTGCGACTTTCGGAAAAATCAGGGAGTGCGACTAAATACACCCATCTCGCAGCGGTTCAACTACGCTCCTTCCCACCTCCCCCCCCCCCGATTCGTACTGAAAATTGGTGTGCTCTGGAGTCAGCCTGGTGACTGGGCAGGCAGTCCTTGGTTAGCCCGATCTGTTGGGGTCTTTTTGCTGATACAGAATATGATACAGAGTATTGTAAGCGGTGCAGCTTGCTACGGTACCGCATGAATACCTCCTGCGAGGATAAAATCCTCATCATTGATCGGTCGCGTGAGAAAGCGTCACCCAGTTCTCCTCCACTGGACGGAGTAGAATGATTCAAGCTGTGTGGGATCATTATCACTTAGTATCACCCTTAATATCAACTTTGTCATCCAGGCAGCTGTGCTTCTCTGTCGCTTAGCAATGTTTCCATCCCTGCACGCACTAGCATGTATGAGGTAGTATTTACGCGCAGAATTGACTCAGAGTAGGGTAGCGTGACGCTACCCTACTCTGAGTCAATTCTGCGCGTAAATACTACCTCATACTGAGCCCAATTTAGCACAACATTCCTAGGGCTAAGGCTGGATGAAGAGCCTTCTACGAAATGGAACTATATTGGCGTTCGTAAGAAACTTCGGCGATGGGCGGCTGGGGCATTTTAGAAACACTTTGTGCAAAGCTGGGATCGCTATAGCGGATCGTTGCGACAATCTGTGGGGATTTTCGTTCGAACCTCGGGAGGAAGGGGCTCAGGAAATGGAACGACCGATTTTGTGCAAAAAGTGGGTTCACTTCGCGGTAAATCTAATTCCACAAAAAGACCCTTTGAGCGCTCTCCACTATGTCCTCGGAGCCTCGATCACTGGGTGGCCGTGAAAAAACCGGGAGCAACTCGGCCGAGGGGGGCTATTTACTAGTTCGCATAACTCGGTGCCGATGCCTCTTGTGGATATGGAAAACTTTTGCAGGTCTCTACAATAAATAGCAGAGCTTCGTTCACATTTGAGAGGAGTGTACAGGTCCCACGAAAGTGAGACGTGTTATTTGATAGGAACTAGCAAAAAAGCAACGAAAGTGCAAAATGCCCCTCCCAAGCCTAGTAGCGCCAAACCGCTGTCTTTTCAGAACCGTTAACGGCTGAGAGATCGTGGCTGAGCATTTGGCATCTACCTAAACACAGGCAAGGTAAATGGTTACCTCACACAATACCTTGCCTGATCTACGTCATTTCCAATATTGTATAATGCCCTGTCGAAGTGGGAATAAAGAGACAGATTCTCTCATAAGCCTCTGGACGGCCAGAGCCATTTTTGCATCGTCGGCTTATTTCAAGTTCCAGTTTCACTGAAGCGAATGATCGCCGCTGCTTCGGGCTTCTTCACGACCTTGAAGGGGGAGAGACGGATAACTAACGAAAGAATGAACGAAATAAGAGCCAATGCGAGTGCGCACTGGTCGCCGCGCTTACTGACCGGTTTCAGATGGGATATCCTCGGTTTCTATCGCTACTCATAAGAAGTGATAAAAAGAATGGTCTAGACGAATCTAAGAAAACATACCATAAGTTGGCAGCTGGGAGAGAAGAACTATCGAATGGGAAACTAGCACAAATAGCAGTTCTTACCACTGCACCATGAAAAACTCGCCTTGAAATGGGATTTGTAGGCGAAATCGTCCAATGCAACGACAGTTTCGAATTTGCCTCCCAACGTCGTTTCAGCCATCTTCTGGATTTCGTCAGCGGCCGAGAGCAAATCCTGAACCATTATACTTTTTCAAATCCTGGTCCAATAATTTTTCCTCGAAATTTTAAATTTTCTTTTTTATTAATATGGATAACAGGTGCAGTCCCGCTTAGTGGGACCATTTTGCATTTTGTCACCATCAAATATTGCCGAATCATCCCGTGGAGCTTAACTCTTGCAAGACCATGCAATAGCCCGAGCTTAATGACATGAGTGTCCACAGGTCTTCCCCAGGTGAAAGGTGCAGATTGAAAGGAACTAGTAAAAAGAACTAGCGGATCAGAAAAATCTCCCCACCCCCTCCCCTGCGCAGAACATCGCCAGATGATATGTTGGAGGAGTGCATCTGCTATAGGGGTTCCTCGTTATAAAAAGACCACGAAACTTCCATTTACACTTTTGAAGGCACTTGAATATTTATCGACTCCATCCGCGCCGTGAAAGCAATCCCTAATGCGTGAATGGGTGGAGTCCGACCTAACCCAGTTCATAATTAATTCGCTTAAATAAAGGGACAGGTTAAAGAAGAAGTGAACTCCTTTTCATCAGCACTCATATGGCCAGCGCAGAAAGTTCCTTCAAGAGCTTATGGTCACTGGGCAAGCCAATCGAGAGTAGTCCGGGATGTTTACCGTTTTTTACTGCTATGAACATAATGAAATTGGGTACCGATTATGGAATCGGCAGCTTCTATGATTCACCTCAGCCACTATGCTATTAGCAGTTACTGCCTTTACAATTCCGGGCGCTCTCAATGGCGATTAGCGGAGCAGTTCTTGCGCTAACATAACCTACGTGGATACTTGTAGAATTGTTGCCGAGGCTATTGCAAATGGAACTTAATCCTTGAAGGGCGTAGGTTATTAGAGCTCTTGAGGAAGCGAAAGGTTCTCTAGGGCATCAAAGCTGCCCGGGCGAAGCTTTCTTACTGGCCGAGCCCAAATCTCCTGACTAGCTGAGTAAGAACCATGAAATCTTAGTTCAGGTGGATATTCAAAAGGGCGATTGGGCCTTTCCAAACGAGCAGTGCCACTGATGCTTTCCCCACAATTTACACAAAATGTGATTACCTTAAATGTAGGGGGTGTCGGGCTGGGGCGCGGTGCCAGCCGATTTTGTAATATTTGCGTTTTTGATTTTGCTCTTGAAAATAAAAGCAACAACAATCGGAAACTTGGGCTGACACTAGCGTCAAACCAGTATCCGCCAGACACGCCTCAGCATTCTCGCGAGCGACGAGGACTGATTATGTAGGAAGGGATAGATTTAATAGAAAGATAAAAAGTGCAGATAGCACCTTCTATATTATATTGGGGGGGGGCTATACCAGTTTGGCTGGACGCGACACGTACTGGCGCGGTCCGGCGCGGAGTGCCTGTAGTTGCATTGAGATAGAGAATTCTGTGCTGACCACTAACACTTGGCTTGATTCCATGTCTCAAAGTACGGCTTACTGCACCATATTTCACCTTTTTAATGAACATTTGCCAATGTCTGATGCTTATCACGTTTCTAAAAACACCCACCATTTGATGGAAATAGGGCAACTTAGCGGTTGAAAGAAGTTCGGTGGTAACATTATCCAAGTCTTGGTGGAAGCTACTTATTTCCTAGCGTTTCCGTTGAGCAGCTTTCAGTCCGTCTGCTGGTGGCCCTTATCACTCCTCACTGACAAACATCTTTAAGCTTTTCACTTTTGGAAGAATCTTTAGAGTTTAGCGGTTGAATCAATTTGGTCTATATAGCTCAAGGATAGAAAGTGCCTGGCTCACCAAGCCTTTGCTCATCGATTCCTGGACCACAGTGGTGAAGCTCAATCGCAAGCAGAGTAGGGAGGGAGACAAGGTACTTAACTGTCCCCTCCCTACTCTGCCTCTAACTTCTATGAGCCCTTACATCAGGAGCAGTGGTCACAACATTTCTCTTGCCACCAAAAAGCTCTCCACCATATTCGCTAGGAAAAACGTCTGAATCACTTGCTGGAGGGTAGTTCCCATTGTTGCTACGACTCGTGTTGTTAAGGGCTGTTGTGTCCTATCAGCTGTTATAACGTCCTGCCACCCACCGATAAGGTTCCCATCCTGCCCCCTATCGTGGAAACGACACCTTACCGTCGCTGTGGCGCAATTTATAATGTTGTTGAGCTTCCTTTTGTAAGGCCTATTATGGTATCTTATCAGCTGTTATCACTGCCTGCCACCCACCAATAATGTTCCCATCCTGCCCCCTGTCTTACTACTTGGATCCAAGGTCCCGTCGTTCGTTGCTCTGGCCGGTGTTATGAGTTTGGTAACCCACTCTTTTAAGGCTCCTCATGGTATCTTATCAGCGGTTATCACTTCCTGCCACCCACCAATAATGTTCCCATCCTGCCCCCTATGTTGCTACTTGGATCGAACGTCCGCGGTCGTTACTCTCTGGCCGACGCTATGAATTTGGTGACCCTTTCCTTCTAAGACCCCCTGTGGTATCTTATCAGATCTTATCAGTTCCTGTGACCTACCAATAGTGTTCCTGCCCGACCCCCTACATTTTTCCCCCCGGTGTGGCGGGCACTATCAGTTTGAGCGCTCTGCCGCTCCTTTGAAGGAAGTTATGAATTTCCGGTCAAACACACACACATACACACACACACACCAACAGACAAACTTAGCGGATTATAATAGTAGGATATTTTCAATGGAAAATAATATTACTTTACTAATTACCTTCTTCATTTAGATACTCACTCACCCTTCCTCCCATTGCACCCTTCATAGCCGATTCCAATTGCTTGTTGCAACAGGTGAATCCTAAAAGAAATTGATCGATCCTTACTGGCTAAAAGGAGAATTCATATTTCCAGAAAGTACGCCTTCTAATAAGGAACCCTCTTCTTTGCAACCTGGGAGTACATCCCCATAAAGCAAGAGCTCCGTGTTGGAGGTACTCCCATGCTTCCTGGCGCTTCGGAATCTCAGGAAATTCCCGTTTAGAAGGACAGTAGCAGGGTCACTGGGACAATGTGGCGCAGTTCGGGCGACGGGAGGAGGGCATTTTGTCACTACGCATTGCTTTCTGTTTCGATTTAACAACGATCGCTTCTGAAGAAACGTGTGAACTTTTGTTGGAGAGAGCAACTCGCTAAAGCCATCATGGTTGAAACCTGGTCAAACTCGAGAAGAGCAGTCTCGACAGGTCGACACGTCCATCGCGAGAGTATCAAAATGTGCAATGTGCGCCGGTCGATTTTCATACGTTAAGCAGATTTTGCCCTGCTTCCTAGCTCAATGGCTCAGGGGATGAAAGTTTTCGAGCCTTCTTGCAATAGCAGCAAGTACTTTACTGCGTTTAAATTTCGAAGTGGTGCCACTACATGATCGCTATGTCTTATAGGTCCCGTGCCGAAAATACAGTATGGTGCTCTTAGCATAACTTTCATGCATTCGTTTTTGTTGTCTTCGTTTGCACGCTGCATTTACCGCTAAGGACACCATGCATAGTGTGACGACTCGTCGGAGGGAAGCGATATATGAAGAACGAGGCAATTGAGGAAAGGAGTAGAAGTGGTAGTGGATGCATCATGGGACCGGGTATGTGGCCTCATTCCTCGCCAACCACTCAATTACCTCACTCCGATGAGTTCTTTAGAAAGTCGGGCAGGTGCTTGTATGGGAATCGATCAAAGCAATGGCATAAAGGCATGAAAATAGCCCGATTCTCTTGCAGGACAGTAGGCTACCACGCCTTCGCATTGTAAGAGCAAGATTACTGGTCTGCAATATAGCCACGATAGGTCTTTGTAGTCAATTAGAACAGTTCCGAAGGGGAGGGTGGGTGGGGGCAGCTGTTGAAGTCGAACAAAATGGATAAATGCCACGGCTGCCATTTCTTGGATTATCATTAGATCCAAAGATCTTTCGAACAGATATGGCATCTCTCATTTGAACAACTTCCGGAGTTCAGTTTGGCATGGTAGGGGCATTTTGCTGGTTCCCGTCGATCACCGCCGTTACTTCCTTTGGAGCCATACAAAGCTATGCAATAGCAGGAACTTCGTCTATATTTGACAAGAATCTACCCTCACTAAGATGTGATGTGTCATTTGATAGGGAGGGCAAAAAATGGATGAAAGTGGGAAATGCCCCTCACAAGCCAAACAGCACCAACTGTGGGAGAGAAAGAGCTATTCTAGGATCCACCTCTCTTGGGGTCATAGGTCAATAATTATGGACTCCTCTCCGATCACCTGCACATGCCTCAGACGGGTTCGTATGGCTCCGCGAAATCCGTATGTTGGCCAAGTCCATAGCGCATTCCAGGGGGATTACTCCAGTGATCGCTTCACCATCTTTACCGTTATCCTTTCTCCTATTCTGCTACATTTTACTCTTCTAAAACCTCCCATTCTGCTTTCACCCTTTCCTCACCCCTCCAGCACGCTCGGTGTGATCTCACCTGCACGCTCGGT